GTCAATCAGTTGCCTCCTGCATGCACCCTGATGCTCCAACCAACCGAGTCACACCAGCCAAGGCAAGATTTTAATTTTAATGTTACTTATGAAAGCATCAAATTTAAGCTCTAATTCAAAATATAATTAAAGAAAAAAACTGTGTCTAACAATGATATGCAGGTATTTAACAGTACTTGTGAACCGTCTATCAACTCAGACTCGACCAAGCATTCCATCCTGCGAAGAATTTAATTCACGCTCTATTTTTAATAAAGGAACATACCAATTCTTTTACTCTGCTCTTTTCTAGATTGAAGTCTAATTTGGTATCTGTTCGGACTTTGACCACTTCATCCTAGTAGGAGGGCAAACAAGAAAGAAAGAAATCCAAAGTAAGAATTCCAAACCCGCTGAGTGTGTGAAGCCCGGGAAAGCTGCCTCCACTGCTTCTAGGTTAGGGCCCAGCTCAGGCAGGGGGCAGGGCAGGGGCTCACAGAGCTGGGGACAGTGATTGGGGAGACTCTGGCCAATCCATGTCTGGAGTCAGCCCTGTCTTGGGACTTCCCAGTTATCCACAAAAATAATTCCTTTTTATGCTTAAATTAGCCCAGAGTGAGTCACTGTTGCTTTTAACCTCAAGATTCCCAAGATAATATCCTTGTGGAATTTACGATTAAAGCTCTTTCTTGGGCAACTCTGGAAAGCAGAGATGGACTTAAAGAAGTAAAATATTACATTCTTGTTTAAATAAAGCCTTCTTTCTGACACTCATCAAAACTTTTTCTTCTTTCACATCAATGTCCTTACCACTTAAAAAAATCAAACAACTGGCACAGTGCTAAGCATTTTAAATCACATGTAATTTTCTAAAGACAGTCTCTTCTAAGAGAATATCAGGGTTCTAGGTGGCTACCTTAGAGAATTTTTTATTTAAAAATGACTTAATTCCTCCTAGAACACAATTTTCTTAATGAATTTGGTTACATCAATAATTCAATCATTGGCTGTGTTTTTAGCTAAATCTTCTAATGTGTACTTTTGAGGCACATTACACAAACATTTAACATAGAATTTAGTTTTTAAGAACATATAAAATATTTCTGACATATTTATTATTAAGCTTAGGTAATTATAAACAAGCAAGCAAACAGGAATGAGGATCTTACCATTATTTGTTGTTTTAACTGATGTAGTTCAAGTTTTACTTTCTAAAAACACATTAAAAAGAAACAAGTCAAGGATACGTTTAGAAAGTTAGAAGAAAAATAAAACGTGGTAATAAACTAATATTAGAGCACGTATTTATGTACAAGGTCTTCCCTCATTCGCGTGAAGTTGGCTACATTCAGAATACAACCTTAACTGAATAGTCTCCGTGGGAGAAGTACCTGTCATGCCAGCATGGTACAATTTTATTTTTTTTTAACATACACATTTGCCTTCAGAGATCTTGCTTTCTTTAATACCTCATTTAACTTTTCTTTTAACTAAATGCCTTCAAACAGCTGACTTTAAGGACAACTCTGAGAGTTTCAGACTTTCTCTTTCTCCAGCACAACAAAGAATCTTTGCTAGGGTTCTTGCAAGAAGACTAACAAACAGGTAATAAAGGAACTTTCTTTGTGGGACTCTAGTAGGACTGAAAACACAAGGAAGAGGCAAAGACAGCATTTATTTAAACGCTGATCCTATGTCACACTTAAGAAACTAAGGGCTATTTTACAGCTGCATTTATTCATAGTAACCAAACACTGGAAACTGTTCTAATATGCATCACAGTAGAATAATGTGACATATTCTTACGATACCATAGGCAATGGAAAAGAATTCACAAGAAGCTACTGATGATCCCATCAGTTCAAGTTCTAGAATAGGCAAAACTAGTCAATGGCGACAGAACCCAAGACAGTGATCACCTCTTTGGGACAAGTGACCAGAAAGGGGCGTAAGCTGGACATCTGGGTGCTGGTCATGTGCTACTTCTTGATCTGACTGGTAGTGTACACTTTGTGAAGATTCATCGAGGTGTGCACTTTCGTGCATGTATATTGTACCTCAATGTCTGAACATAAAGCATTTTATAAGGATAAGTTTATAAGGATAGTTTTACCTCATTTTCTGCTCTGAGGGTTGAAAATTCACTCTTCTCCAAAATGATCATATCTTTTTTCACATTAGCAATCTGAGACATTATTTGCTGAAGTGTGATCTCCTAGAAGGAAAACAAAACATATAATTTAGTCTTGTGGAGGAAGTACACCTCCTGTGGTTGCTACCTCGTATCATCTTAACGAGGAACTGGGAGAGTGTGGACACAAGAAGAGGTTCAGCAAGGCTACCGTGTATTCCAAGACGAGCAAAGGGAAACAACAAAATCTCAAGTCCAGTATCATTAAGTGAATCACTGTTAAGAGGGTGGCAGTCTGAGGATCAGTGGCTCAAAAACACACCGCTATAATTCTGGCCACATCTCCATTCATTAAAATACGGTGCACTGAAACGGTTTTCAAGCATACAGACTTTTCAAGCATAGTGAGTTTCAAGCATGGAGACTCTATAAGGGTTCACTAAACAGCTTTGAATAAATACTTTTTACGCCTCTGTAATAATTTGCCTCTCAACTATGGTTAAAATTAACTATTTGCTTTTCAATAGAACATTATCCAAAAATACATATTACAAATGACATCTTCCCTTTAGGTTTCAAATTTGCAAAAGTGCCTTGACGAAGCTAACCTGTTGCATCTTGGTGACCATGTCTTTGTAGACGATATCCATGTTGGCCTCCGTGATCTTGACCAATGCAGATACAATGATTTCTGCTTGTTGAGTGGTAAACCCTAAGCAAACACACGAAGACAGTCACACTCAGGAGACTCCAGTTGTCAAAACAAAACAAACAAAAAAAAGTCCTTCATAGAAAGGGAGAAAACTTACACATTAAGGTGAATGTCTGAATTCAAGCAGGGGGCAAGCCTGTGGCAGGAGGATGAGATTACAGTCACAGGCTATGACATGTCTGGACAAGTTTGATACGTCTGAGTCTGTTTCCTCATGTAAAATGAGCGGTCGGGCTAACTGCTCTCTAATGTCCTTCCTAGCTGTTAAAAATCATGTTTTCAGAGAATGTCTAATAACATAGGGGATGCCTGCCATGCAAGGTCAAGTGAAAAAAAGCAAGACTCAATACTATAGATATAATTTATCACTTCTGTGATTTAACAAAGATTCTAGATAATTTTTATTTTCTTTAATGGGTATGACTTCCTTAATTTTAAAATGTATATACTAGCAAAAAATAATTTACTTAAGTTCATTTATTTTATATCCAGTATAAATCGGTCAAATTACTGACTATGGAAATAATTTTTTTTTAAAAATATATCTTTATTGATTTGAGAGAGAGAGGAAAGGAAAGGGAGAGAAGACAGAAACATCAATGATGAGGGAGTCATTGATCGGCTGCCTCCCGCACGCCCCCTACTGGGGATCAAGCTCACAACCCAGGCATGTGCCTTCATCTGGAATCGAAATGTGATCTCCTGGATCCTAGGTCCATGCTCAACTGCTGAGACACACCCAGCTGGGCTGGAAATAACTTAGCTGTTAGTTCATTTAACGTGCAAAGACAGCCATTGTTAAAATCAGTTCTTTCATTTTTCCTCCACAATTCTCTTCAGTTACTAGTGATAGGGGCCCAAACTGGAGAAAAAAAATTCTTTGGTATTCAAGAAATGATGCTGAATTGAATTATATAAAGATTCAACTTGGCAGTATAATTGTTTTTAATAACTATAGATAGTAATTTGTATTTCACATTGCAAATTCTAATAAAATGCTTAAAATCAAGTCCCTGAAAAGTAATTCTTTCTATTAAATTTCTATAAGAATTTCAGAAGATCTATTGATTCTTGTAATTAATTAATGGCACATTTGTTTGAATAAAGTTATAGCTGACACAATCTAGATGAGACTATAATTAAAAAAACAAGGCACAAACTTAAAAGGCGACAAAAAAGACCTTCGAAGACCTACTTTCTTCACGTCATTCAAAATCCTTTAATTTTCAACATGTAGGTCATGCACATCCAGAAAAATCACCCAAAAGGTTACCCACCAAAATGTTGATGTTGGTTAGCCCTGGGACACTGGGATTCAGAACAGTTTTTCATGTTTCTTTTCTGTCTTCCTAATTTTTTGAAAATGAACCTGTCTTTCCCAATTTTTATAATTTTAAGAAAAGTTCATAGTTAAACAGAATGAGATTTGGCAATTAAGAAGAAAAGAAAAATAGACTAGAAGACTTAATGCTGATAATAAAAAACAAATGAACTCCAAAGCCTTACAATTTAATAAGCACCTGTGGAAAGTGAAGGGGATACTGAAAAGCAGACGCCTGAAAACCTGGTGAGTTACCAGATAGAAATTATTTTTTTTTGTAGGCATGAGAGAACAAGATACATCAGGGTTAGTTAGATTATAGACATATAGGAAGTTCCATTAATCAGGAGACATAACTGAAGGAAAAAAGGGTAAAGGAGGGAATATTCCTAGAAGGGTTCTTCCTGGCCTTACCCTGACCCAGACAACTTACACGTTCATCATTGATCTCAGCATCTTCACACCCTACACATACTTCAGTGGGGTCCTCACATCACTGGTCTTGAAATATGCAAATATTCATGGGCCAAGGTTTGAAACCAAGAAAAGTAGAAAGTACATATACCAAAATATCATATTTTAAACATACAATTTTTTGTCTAAATAAACAAAGAAACAATAAATTTTCAGAGTGTAAGAGGGAATAAATTCCACCTCTTGTTGGAAGGATTGGTGGCCATCTACCCTGCCATTGTTACACTTAACAAAATTAATGATGCTCCCTTAACATCAGCAAACACCTAGTGTATGCTGAAATGCCCCCATTGTCTCTAATATCTCTTTTTAAAATTGGTTATTTTGAATACAAACACACAGTTCAACCCCGCTACCCACAAAAAGAAGAAGAAAGAAGGAAGAAAAGTAGGAAGACTTCTGCTTATCAAGATAATTTTAGATGGTCCTCTTCTCACTTACACTTTTCTTTTTGGCCAATGAAAGAAGTTTTTGGTGAAAAGGGCCTATTATTTCAAGTTTGACAAGGAAAGCTTGTAAAAAATTGTTATATAGCATTTGACAGTTTTTCCAAAGTGCATTCAAGTACATTATTTCATTTAATATTCAGAAGGCTCTTTGGAATTCTTATTATGCCCAGGCTACCAATGAGGAAATGGAATCTGAGGATGAAAGGCCTGCCTAGGCCACAACCAAGCACAGCTTGACCCAGAGCTTCTAACTCCCCAGAAGAGCACAGAATTCACTCCATCACCTTGACCTGGGCATGTTTAGTACATCTACAGAGGGCAGCTTATCAGGTATGATCATGCACAACTCGATAAATGACTATACAATGAAGTAAAAGCACATGTATTTATTTCCAAGGCATAATCTATGATACGTGAAATTCTGATTTTGAAAATATGTGTGTCACAGTATAGAGAATTATAATTGGTGTATTTGTCTACATAAAGTTAAACATGAGAATGTTACCTATACACTAAGTACACTTTCAACAAATGTCAGCTATGTCAGAGCAATCCTTTGTATTAATGCATGCAATAGCAATAAGGGAAAATGTTAGTTTGAATATTTTTTTAAAAGAACACAACGTGTTGATATTATCAATAATTGCTGCTCAGCAACATTTTAATTTCATAAAAGCACACAAGATGCACAGTAATAAAGCTACCACTTTTGTGCTTCATATAGTCATCATGAGAACCACTCCTGAGTTTTGCTGACTTGTGTCTAAATTTTTATCTTTAACACTGTATTTCCAGAGTGATGTTAAAAGAATATGCTTCCCTTAGACAAAATGTGTGAGAAAAATCTCTAACATACTGAGGAAGCAAAAATGTCCCTCAACAAAAAATGCGGACTTAAAAAATGGAAACTGACCAAAAGGTTACCTGCAGGCTTAAAAGTCAGAGAGAAATATGAGAAATTAGATGAAATCATAAGAAAAGTAATAATTTATTGTGTTCTTCCATGACAGTGAGTGACCCATGAGAAAGGATTACCATTTTCTTCCAGTAAACACACTAAGGCATGGGTGTCAAAGTAGAGCTTCCTACTCCCAGAAGAGGTGAAACCTGGTTGCTTGCGCTCCAGCTGCAGGCACCCAGCAGAGAGGCTTAGCTCTAGAATGGAAAGGACAATAAAGTTCAAACAAGACCTAATGGTAAACAAAAGCGACTCAGCAACGTGAATAAAAATCAGGCATACCTCAAAAGTCTGTTTTTGTTTTTCACAACAGCTTTGAGCTATAATTCACACACTATACCACTCATCCATTTCAAGTATACAATTTGATTGTTTTTATTATATTTAGAGTTGAGCAAGCATCTCCACAATCGACTTTAGAACCCTGCTATCACCCCCAAAAGAAATCCCATACCCAAACTCCCTACACCCCCACTCCCAGGCAACCTACTGATCTACTTTCTGTCTCTATGGATTGCCTATTCTGGACACTGCCCATGAATAGAATCGTAAGATATGTGGTATTCTGTAACTGGTTTTTCACCTAGCATGGTGTTTTCAAGGTTCACCCACCTCGTAGTATGTGTCAGTACCAAATTTCTTTTTATTGCCAAATACTAGTCCATTGTATAACTATTCCCATTTTATTAACCTATTCATTAGTTGAAGGGCAGTGAGTTGTTTCCTTCTTGGCTTTTATGAATAATGCGGCTATGAACATTTGTGTATAAGTTTTTGTGTAAACGTTTTCAGTTCTCCTGGGTACATACCCAGTTGTGGAACTGCTGCACCATATGGTAACTTTATGTTAAACACTAATAAGGCTATCTCAGGCTGCTTTCCAAAGTGGCTGCGCCCTGTTACAGTCCCAACAATTATGTACAAGGGTTCCGATTTCTCCACATCTTCAACACTTGGTATTAACTTTTTTATTATAATCATCTCAGTGGGTGTAAAGTGCCATCTCATCGTAGTTTTGATTTGCATTTCCCTAATGGCTAATGATGTTGAGCATCTTTCAATGTGCTTATTGGACATTTGTATATCTTCTTTGGAGACAGTTCTATGCAGACCCTTTGCCTATTTAAAAAAATTGGGTTATCTTTTTATTGCAGAGTGTAAGAGTTCTTTGTGTAAGAACTCTTACACAAAAATGGGACACCCTATATATAACAGCTGATAACTCACTTAATTTTCATTCCTTTTTGGGTTTAATTGATTTGAAATAATGGGTGAAGCCAGACTAAGCTTTGAACAAAGAAAATGTATCCTAAAGTGCCACTAGACTTTTTATTACGGGGATACATAAAAGATAAAGTTTAGGGTACAAAACTGGTAACAGTTGACAAACTGAGGGCACACAAATACTGAACAAAATGATTCTTGATGTTTGCAATTCCATTGCTTCGCGTTATCAGCAGTGCCAGGACCAGAATGGTTATCAGTTTGAAAACAGGCATTGACAAAGAAAATTATTCATTTCTGTAGATTCTTTTAAAATTTGAAAATGAACTGTATGTTAATAAACACTGACTTTATAATCATTCAAAGTGCACATACATTTTCTTGGGACACCCTGTATTTCACATACAAGTTCTGTATTATACATATGATTTCAAATATTCTCTCCTGTTCTATGAGTTGTCTTTCACTTTCTTGATAGTGCTTTATGAAGCACAAAAGTTTTCAATTTTAATGAAACTCAATTTATTTTTTTCTTTTGTTCCTTGTGCTTTTGGTGTCACATCTAAGAAACTATTAGCTAATTCAAAGTACACAAAGATTTACGGCTATGCTTTCTGCTAATTATTTTACAATTTTAGCTTACATTTAGGTCTTTGATCCGTCTGAGTTAATTTTTGTATATGTTGTGATAGTTCAACTTCATTCTTTTGAACAATGTAGGTGTCCAGCTGTCCCAGAACTCTTTTTCCCTTAAATTGTCTTGTGGCTCTGGTCAAAAGTCAATGTACTATAATATAAATGTTAGTCTCTGGGTCTCCCATTCTATTCCCACTGATCTATATGTCTGTTCTTATGCCAGTGCCACATTTTCTTGATTACTATGTAGTAAGTTTCAACATACTACAACTCTGTTCTTTTTCAAGATTGTTTCTGGCTATTCTGAGTCCCTTGCATTTCCATATGAATTTTAGGGTGATAGAAATTGTGTTAAATCTGTAGATAAATTTGGGGGAGTACTGCCATCTTAACAAGATTAAAGTCTTCCAATCCATGAACATGGAATGTCTTTCCATTTATTTAGGTCTTTAATTTCTTTAATAATGCTATGTAGGTTTCAGAGTATAAATTTTATGCTCTTTTGTTAAATTTATCCCTAAGTATTTTATTCTTTTTGATGCTACTATAAAGGGAATTCTTTTGTAGATTTTTCAAATTGTTCATTGATAGTGTATAGAAATAAAACTGATTTTTGTATTTTTAAAAATATATTTTGTATATTGATCCTGTATCCTGCTAAACTTATTAGCTCCAATAGTTTTTTACTGAATTCCTTAGTTTTCTAAGCATAAGGCCATTATCTGTGAACAATGATGGTTTCACTTCTTCCTTTTCAATCTGGATGCTTTTCCATTTTCTTGACCAACTGCCCCGGTTAAAGCTTCTAGTACAATGTTGAATGGAATGATGAGAGCAGACATCCTTGCTCCTGACCTTAGAGGGAAAACATTCTGTCTTTTGCCATTAAATATGTTAGCCGTGGGTTTTTCACAGATGCCCTTTATCAGGTGAGGAAGTTCCCTTCTAGTCCTAATTTCTCCAGTGTGTTTATTTTAAATCATGAAGGGGTGTTGAATTTTGTCAAATTCCTTCATCTTTTGAGATGATCATGTGATTTTTCCCCCTTTATTTTGTTAACATGCTGCATTACATAAATTGATTTTCAGATGTTAAATGAACCCAGAATTCCTGGGACAAAATCCCATCTAGTCATGGTATATACTCCTTTTTATGTATTGCAAGATTTGGTTTGCTAGTATTTTTTTTGTATTTTTTTTTTGAGGATTTTTGTGTCCTTATTGATAAGAGATACTGATCTGTTATTTTTTTCCCCTTGTGATGTCTTTGCAAAAGCCCATTTTTGGAGAGATGAGTTCTAACAATTTGTATATTGCCATTTTTGTAAGTTTCTGTGCATTTAATCAAAGAGCCAACCCATTTTGTAAACTTATTTCAAAGTGCTTATTTGAAGGACGTAGCATAGTAATGGTCTCCTGGCTTTTGTATTTCGTGAACCACAATTTCTTTTTTAAATGGAACAATTGCAGTGTCAATTTATAATTTTGTCAAGAAAGGATATTTAAACATAATAGCTCCTTACTATTACAATCATACTAAAAAAAGACATTTTGATAGCAAAGGGAAAAAAGAAAGATGGACAACATAAAATAAAACCCTTCCATTTAAATGTAATAAACATAGCTATATGCAAATCTTGCTACGTATTTGTCCTTACTTTTCAATGGTGCCAGGTGTTGCAGAAGAATGGTAGAAGAGATAACAGTCATCTACTAACTCAAAGTTCAAAGGTTTTCCCAGTAGGTCTCCTAAATGACCAGAAAGATACTTCAGCTAATCAACTCCTATTCTCAATACTTCACCCCTACACACTCTAAAAGAAACTGCAAAGTAAGCAAAAGGATGCCATGGACAGGACCCCATAGACCTGGTTCTTCTCTGTAAGCCTAGAGTAATGGTTCCCAACTTACTGGCTACTTAGGAAGAGTAGAGTTGCTGTGGTCACAGTCAGCATCAAGTAAGATCAAGAGATCCAATAATCTCTTGCAGACTGACAAAATATAAAACACAACAACTACTGTCTGTATATGTGTTTAATGGTTTAAAAAAGGGGCCTTAGATTCAAAGAATCGCTAGCCTATACTATTAAGTCCTTGGCAAGGCATACAAAGCCTGTTCCAATTTGGCCCACACTTACCTTTTCAGCTTTCTTTCTAAGCTAGTCTGTTTCCTGAACTTTCTTTCATATTTCGGTATTCCATCCTTAAGCTAGGTTTGCGCCCCTTTCTCAGTTGGTAAACTTTAAGCATCCTCTTTACCCTTCTTCATTTAACTTGACAACTTCCTAAGCACTCATTATGTTCTGGTTTTGGTTATACAATTTATGGTTCTCTCTGCCAACTACACCCAGGTCAGGGAGCAGCCTTTATTGCTCCCTTATCTGTGTTCTCAGCCCAGTACAGATAGCTCTATCACAGCAATTGCTATATTACTTCCATATCTGTACCATCTATTAGTCCACAATCCCCAAGAGCAGCCAATCTTAGTCATTTTTGGATTGTTAGCATCGAGCAGAGGGCCTGGCATAATGCAGGCTAAACTATATTAAAAACAAAAATTCAGTTGTATGATTTCTAAGATCTGGATCGTGAGACTGTCTAGAAGGAAAATCTGAGATCCAAACCTTTCTCCTCTTAACCTATCGTATTCTTTTTACATAAGTACCCTATTTTTCCATACAAGGAAAATAAGACTCAGAGAGGTAGAGACACTTGCCCAAGGTCACACTGCCAGTTAGTGGGCACAGCCAGCCTCTTGACCTCTGAGAGGCCCTGCTGAGCCCAGCCACTTATGATAAATGAGTACCTCTTTTTTCATTCCTTTTTTTCTTTTTAAAGGGATGTGAAGAATCACACAGTACCTCTGCAGTTCCACTCAGAAGTGAAACCTACCACTTCTATTCACATTTCATTGGCCAACGCAAGTCACAAAGGTCGGAAGGAGAACCCAAAACATTCAGTGAACAGCTTGATGTTACCCTTTTCTTGATCATCTGTACCACAGACCCCACCCTGCTTTAATGCTCCATTGCACTGCTCCCTACAGGATATTATACTTGTTTATTGTTTGCCTTCTCCCCCTGGAACCTAAGCTCTGCAAGGTCAGGGTGTGCCTGGTTTTGTTCACCACATACCTGCAGCACTTAGAACACTGCTTGGTATACAACAGGCATTGAAATAAAACTTGTAGTCACATGGATCAATAGTAACATAAAGAGTTAATATCTAAAGGTGCTTACCATGTGCTCCACACTGGGCTAAGTGCTGTTAATGCAGTAACTCATTTGATTCTCAGCTCAATTCTATGGGGGATGAAGGTCTATTATGACCCTATTTTTCCATACAAGGAAAATAAGGCTCAGAGAGGTAGAGACACTTGCCCAAGGTCACACTGCCAGTTAGTGGGCACAGCCAGCCTCTTGACCTCTGAGAGGCCCTGCTGAGCCCAGCCACTTATGATTAGGGGGTAGAGTCATAATGTCTAGGCATGGCGGCTGAGTGTCTGCCATGTGTGGGGACAGGGCCTGGGAGCATGTTCAGAAGCCAGAGTAACTGGAAAAATAATAAGTATCACCAATTATTAGGTGACAGATACTGTGCTGAGGGAGGCACATATTATTTCATGCTCACATAAATCACATGAGCAAGTGTCGCTCTTCACCTATGGTCTTCCTTTTTCACATAAACGAGTACCTCTTTCATTCTTTGTCTGCAGTCCTGGGACAAAAATTGGCCTCCATGAGAAAAGACCCTGAACATGTGACACAGAATAGACTTAGTTCTAAAAACATTGGTGGTGAATGAATGAATGAATGAATGAAAGAGCTCTCAAGGGGCTCTCTACAGGCCACTCCACCCATCTTAGAACTGTGCAGGACTGTGCCATGGGTTAGGGAGCTTGGAAACATTTGAGTCTAGTACTGGCTTATGAAGAGTGATAAGAATAGTCCCAAATTCCTTGTTTCTAATAATCAAATAATCATTCATGTGATTTAAAACAAAAAAGAGCATCACGTCTACTTTCTAAGCAAGAGCTAATTCCAATTTAGATACTGCCTATTCCTCCCCCCCAAAAAAAATTATCGAAATTTATTTCAATTGCAAGCTTATTTCAAAGAAATATTGTCATCTGGGAAGTGGAGAAAAGGGCTGGCCGCTTTCCAGTTGGCCCTCCAACCCCTGCTGACAGACGGCGAACGCCAGTTTGCTTTCTGTCAAAGGGTAACGCCTGAGGATGCAGCAACACTCTGACATTCAGAACACCTCTGACTCACTTTTCCTCTTTTATTTTGACAACAAAATCCCTACTTATAACCAGGAAGCCAGTAAACTGAGCTATGTTAAAGTATAATATGAAATCCTCCTTTGGGGGGGCCTTCAGTATATCAAAAGGATATTGAAAACATACTTACAAAAGAAGCCCAAGTTAGCGTTGGCCAGAGGAGGGAACCAAGTAAATATTTCCTATATATAACATCCTTAAGTTTAAGTAACCCTACTTAGAACTTTCGGCACTAGGCTGAAGGCAAAGGAACAAAACTCTCATTTGCTGATGGTTGATGGGCACACATGATTCCTTAATTGTCTTGGCTGTGTTTCCCCAAATTTATGAATCCATCAACACTCTGAGGAATGACATCATTTGAGATGAATCCAGCATCACCACTTTGCTACAACATCAGGAAACTGATGAAAAAGAACTCTCCTTTGCCCCATAATCTTGGAGTTATGAGAAGAAAATAAATCACAAGTTTCCAGTTTGTCAAAAAAGAGCACCAAAAGGCAAAGTACAGAAATAAAGTTCAAAACCATCTCTAACTCACAATTACTGCAGACACTGACAGAGTTCACTCACTACTCATTCCCCAGGCTCTGTATGTAAAGCTTTGCTCATTTTGTTCTCTACCTATCAGTTTCTCTCCCAGCGAAAGGTATTCTTAAATTTTAGATGAGGCCAACATTTACTGGGCATTTCTGTTGAGAGAAAGAAAGAAAAAAAGACTACCAGAGTGGTTACTGATGGCTACTGATGGAAAAGTATAGACTCCCAAAGTGATATTTTTGCCAAGTTTGCTAATAAACATTACCCAAAATGATGACATTTTAATCAACAATTTGCTACCTAGTAAATTGAGCCTGTTTAGATTTCCTTAATCTCATGTAGGGCAGTGAGTGCTCTTGCCCCCTTCAAGTATTTAGTCAAATGCCACCTTCTCAATGAAACCTATTCTGAGGACTCTATTATAAATTCCTAACTGGAGGCCCACCTCACTTGCTAACCCTTACTACCTTTATTTTTTTGTATAGCATTTATCAGACTACACATATATAAACTGTATATGTATACAAAAATTATATCTCTATTTAAACATTTATGTGTATCATCTCCTCTGCTAGAATTAAGCTCCAAGAAGGAAGGTTTTGTTAACTGATAGATTCCAAATATCTTGGAAAGTGCCAGGCACAGAGTAGGAACTAGTGCTTAATGAATGAATTCACTAATCCCTAAGAGTATAAAATTAAATTGCAAAGCAATTCTTTAACTTCCCAGAGCTACACTTCTCAAGCTTGCAAGCCTTGAGCACCTGGCAAAACAGCGCCCACGTGGGAGCTCCGCACAAGGGCGCGCACAAGCTCACTGTCCCGCACGCGCCACCCTCCCGGCCGCCCATTCCAATTCTGCGCCGAAACCTTTGCGCCCGCATTCCCGGTAGCTCAGGTCCCGCAGCCAGCCAAGCCCACGATTCCGCAGACCAGAAGGGCGGGGCCAGCCAGGTCTTCGTCCCCACGCTAGGAGGAGCCTGGCGACCTCAAGTGACCCGACCTCTGGGTATCCCGGCCTTCCCCCGGGGAGGTAAAAGCGAAAGCTCGTCCCCTGCCCGCTGCCCCGGCCCCGCGAGGCGAGCCCCCTCTCCTCCGAGCGCCGGACCCTACCTCTCCTCCAGGAAGCGAGGGCGGGCACCCCGCCACCGCACAGGTGGAGGGGGCCGGCGGCGCAGGCGAC